GTGCTTAGAGAGCAGAGGCCTCTACCAGCTCTGCGGCACCTCATGTGCCACAGGAAGTGGCAAAGGCTCCCTATGAGAGCAAGCTAGTCATCAGGACCACCCAGAGGGCAGTTGAGTGCCACCGATCCTCAGAGCCAAGGCAGTACTCTCCAGCTCCATGCCACGGATCTCTGGCTTCGCAGCCCAGGTCCTCTGCGGCTCACCCCAAATCACCAGTACCGCAATCACGGTCTCCACCCTCCATGTGGGTCACCTAGGGGGAGGTGCTGGTTACCATATTGCTGGAACTGTTCATCTTCCTGCCGGTAGTCTTCTCGGTGCAGAACACCATCCACCACGCTGTGGGAACGATCTCCATTGTGGTACTGGTCCTCCTGGTCCTCCTATTTGAAGTGCCGGTCTCCAGTGGCGACGGTTAGCCGACAGATTCAGGCACCGCCTTGTCCAGGGATGAGGATGACTGTACCGCCGGCATCATCCCCCATGAAGGAAGGGGGTTTCAGGATGGGCACTCACTCCTCTTCCCCTCGCTGAGGCATCACCAGTGCAATTGAGCATCTGAGGGTTTGTCAACCTCTGCAATGCTGCCTTGGCAACAAGACCAGTGGCCAACGCAGTGGCTCTACTGGAGTGCGTGGAGCATGCCTGTGATGCTGATGCCCTCTTTGTACCATTCATCAGCCACCGCCTCGGAGCAACAGTTGACAGCACTCATAGGTCGTGGTAGAGGAGCGAGTGTCCGCCCCAAAACCCCCTTCCTCCGCATGTGATGATGCCCTGGGGCCTCTCCCGGGCAGTACAGTCTTCCTCATCCCTGGATGAGGCGGTGCTGGGCCCGCCGGATGATTTTAAAGAGCACCTGGCTCTGCTTTGATGGGTGGCCGAGAACTTGGGCCTAGAGGTAGGGGAAATGGCTGAGCATGTAGACACCCTATTCAATGTTCTGTTGGCGTCTACCCCTGCTCGTGTTGCACTACCAGTGCATGATGGGGTCTTGAAAATTGCCATGGCCTTCTGACAAACCCCATTGTCCATCCCTCCCACCTCCAAGAGGGCTGAGAAAAAGTACTTCATCCCAGCCAAGGGGTTCGAGTACATGGCTCCAGGCTAGCTGGTCGTCTCTCTGGCCAACGAAAAGGACAAGCAAAACACAGCAGTTCAACCCCCAAAAATAAAGAGGCCAAGAGGCTGGACCATTTTGGGAGGAAAATTTATACAACAGCCAGCCTTCAGTTCTGGATGGTGAACCACTGGGTTTTTGGGCAGATACGATTTTAACTTATGGGACTCCCTCCGTAAGTTCAAGGAGTCCCTGCCCCAGGACTTGGCCCAGGAGTTTGGCACCATGGTGGAGGAGGGTACTGCAGTAGTGCTTCCTTCAAATGGTGTGGGACACAGCTGGCTCGGAGCTGGGGTGGTCATGAGGCGCAGTTCCTGGCTTCAGACCACTAGCCTGTCCCAAGAAAAGCAGGCCTCAATTCAAGATTTCCCATTTGATGGGAATGGTCTCTTCGCAGAGCAGACAGATGCACAGCTGCATGGCCTAAAGTACACTCGGGCCACCCTTCGTTCCCTGGGTCTGCATATACCACAATCAGCGAGGAAGAAATTCCGGCCGCCACCACCAAGGCCTTGGCAGCCTCGACAGAAGTCTGTGAGGAGAAGGGATAGAGACACGAGCTTTAGTCACTGCCCTTCCTCCTCCTGCTCATCCCCTCAGCCCGGCCTGGCAAAGCATCCCAGGGGCCAGAAGCACTCACTTTGAAGGTGCGCTCGAGAGTGACACCCCAGTCAGCTCCCCGGATCCACATTGTTCTTTCCTCGACCATCTTCATCCCTACCATTCGGCCTGGTCTCGGGTCACCTCGGACCACTGGATGCTGGTGATAGTATCTCGGGGCTAACCTCCTGCACTTGGGGGCAGTAGAGGAGGTCCCTTGGGACATGAAAGGAAAAGGATTCTACTCCTTCTACTTCCTAATCCTGAAAGCAAAAGTGGGCCTGAGACTCATTCTGGACCTGCAATGCCTCAAGAAGTAGAAGTTTCACATGGTCTCCCTGGCCTCCATCATCCCCTCCTTGGATCCAGGAGACTGGTACGCCACCCTTGACTTGAAGGACACTTATTTCCATATTCCAAGATCACAGACGTTTCCTCCGTTTCATAGTGGGTGGACGCCATTTCCAATTCACGGCTCTGCCCTTTGGCCTCTCATCGGCGCCAAGGGTGTTCACAAAATGTATGGCACCAGTGGCCACTTACCTGAGGCATTGAGGGGTCCAGGTCTTTCCATATCTTGATGATTGGCTCATCAAGAGCTGGTCTCAGGAACAAGTGTAGAGGAGCATCAGTCTGGTGTGTTCCACCTGTCACAACCTGGGCCTGTTGACAAACGAGAAAAAATCCACATTAAGGCTGGTCCAATGAATAGAGTTCTCCACACGAGCCAGAGCCTTCCTTCCGGAGGCGTGTTTTCAGGCCATGTCGGACCTGATCTCCCATGTGAAGAACCACCCAGTCACGACTACTCACACCTGCCTTTGGTTGTTGGGCCACATGGAGTCTGTCATGCCTGGCTCCATCTCCGCCTGTGCAAGTGTGACTGGCGTTGATCTATATACCCAACAGACACAACCTAGACTGGGTAGTCAGGGTGCTGGATCACATCTGGTTGTGCCTGGATTGGTGGTTGGACTCCGGGTCGGTGCTGGAGGGAGTTCCCTTCACGGCCACATCATTGTCGCTGACCTGGTCTCTGATGCTTTGGACCTGGGCTGGAGAGCCCACTGGGCGATCTCAGCACGCAAGGCTGCTGGCTATGGAACGATCTGGCCCTCCATATCAACGTCAGAGAGCTCAAAGCGGTTTGCCTGGCCTGCCAGGCTTTCTTGTCTTACTTGAGGAACAAAGTAATGCAGGTCCTAACGGACAATACCGCTGCGATGTATTACATCAACAGGCAGGGCGGAGCCAGATGGTCAGCCCTTTGCCAAGAAGCTCTCCACTTTTGGGACTTCTGTGTGCAGCATGCGATTCATCTGGTAGCCGTGCATCTGCCCGGGACCAGGAACGTGTTAGCAGATCACCTCAGTAGGACCTTCTTGTCTCACCATGAGTGGTTGTTCCATTCGGAGGCAGTCAGTATGATCTTCTGGAGGTAGGGGACTCCCCAGGTGGACTTGTTTGCATCCCATCGGGTCAGGAAATGTCACGTGTTCTGTTTGATCCGGGGGATGGACATGGGCTACTTGTCAGATGCTTTTCTGCTCCCATGGTTGGGGGCCCTGATGTATGTCTTCCAGCCAGTGCTGTTGACCCAGAGAATCCTTGTGAAGATCAAAGAGGATAGGGTGAAGGTTATTGTGATAGCCCCCACGTGGCCTTGACAGCAGTGGTCCGGCATGCTGCTGGATCTTTCAGTAGCCACCCTGCTGCAGCTACTCCTCTGGCCGGACCTGCTGTCCCAGACCCACAGCAGTCTTCTTCACCCAAATCTGGCGGCGTTGCACTTGACAGCATGGCTACGGCATGGCTGAATGAGGAGGAATGCTCAGCCCATGTCCAGCAGATCTTGTTGGGTAGCAGAAAGCCCTTGACCAGAGTGACTTACCTGGCCAAGTGTAAGAGGTTTATGTGCTGGACCTCGGACCGGAGTATCCGGGCTGAGCAGGCTTCTCTGCAGGCGATCCTGAACTATCTTCTGCATCTCAAGCTCCAACGGTTGTCCTTGTCATCAATCAAAGTCCACTTGGCCTCTATTTCGGCCTTCCATCCTCTGCTCCAGGGCAGGTTGGTCTTCGCTCATGACATGACAAACTGGGTTTTGAAAGGTCTGGAGTGTCACTACCTGCACATCGGGGATCCCATCCCACCCTGGGACCTGAACCTCATGCTGTCACGGCTCATGGGTCCTCCCTTTGAGCCTCTAGCTTCCTGCTCCCTTCTTCTCCTCTCCTGGAAAGTTTCTTTCCTGGTCACAATAACGTCTGCCCATATGGTCTCTGAGATCAGAGCGCTTACTTCATTGACAGGACTAAGCCATTTCGCAAGTCAACACAGTTGTTCGTTGCAGTGGTGGACAGGATGAAAGGTTGCACAGCGTCTGCTCACAGGATTTTATCCTGGATCACGGCCTGCATCTGTTACTGCTATGATCTGGTGAAGGTGCCTCTCCCGGCGACTGTGATTGGCCACTTGACTAGGGCGCAGGCTTCATCGGCAGCCTTCCTGGCCCAGGTGTCAATTCAGGATATCTGCTGGGCCACTACCTGGTCATCTGTCCACATGTTTACGTCTCATTATGCACTTACCCAGCAAGCCTGAGACAATGTTAGCTTTGGTAGAGCAGTGTTGCAAGCCGCACAACCATGAACTCTGAGCCCACCTCTGGGGATACTGCTTGTGAATCACCTAGAATGTGATCGACATGAGCAAGCACTAGAAGAAGAAAAAACAGTTACCTACCTTTCATAACTGTTGTTCGTCGAGATGTGTTGCTCATGTCCATTCCATTACCCGCCCTCCTGCCCCTGTGTTGGAGTTTCCGGCAAGAAGGAACTGAAAGGGCTTAAGGCCGGCAGTGCCTAATATACTGACACATGAGCGCAGCACTTTAGAGTGCGCCACAGCTGACCCTACGGATACCGCTAAGGCAAAGATCTCCAACAGCCGCACACCTAGAATGGAATGGACATGAGCAACACATCTTGAAGAACAATTACGAAAGGTAAGTAACCTTTTTTTTAATCTACATTGGTTTTCATTTTGACCATTCTTGGACCTTATGTAAAAATAAAGCCTTATGCTAAGAGACTAGGACTCAGTTCTATTTCATTTTAAATTGGTGCACAACTCCCACTGACTTCAACAAAAGCAAGCCTGATATGTCTTCACATTAATGCTCTGAGTTTTAAGAACGTAATTCTTGAAAAATAGGCCTGCATTCTTCATATGAGATTTAATCTTGTATAACCATTATCCCACTGCATTTACATTTCAGATTTTTAATCTGATGAAGTTTGATAGCTATACTCGCTTTCTGAAATCCCCGCTTTACCAAGAATGCATTCTGGCTGAAGTAGAAGGTCGCCCTATTCCTGATCCACAGCGTGTTCCCAGCAGCCCTACATCTAAACACAGTATCAGCTCAGAGCGGTCCCATATCTCAACACCAAAAAAGGTAACTTTTGATTAAATTGTTACTTTTCTGAAAACTAAGTTCTTATCTGTAGCTGAACTTCTCCTCCCACTCCCCAAATTTGTTGGAAGATCAACAAGAATGTATAGAAGCTAATGAGTTTTCATATTTACTAGTGCTGACAAAGTATCTAGTTGCCAAGTCTTAATGTACAAATTGTTTTATTTGTGGATAGGTTTTTGTCCGTTATAACAGAAGTTACTAACTCCCTTATGTATTGCCTAAATAAATGCATTTTGTTCTACAGCTAATGAAATGAGGTAATTATACTTCATGCGCTAATTCAGAAGTTGATTTTGATTGAAGTCCACAATTGCTAGGAAACTAAGTTTTGGTATTTTCAACCGCAGGTAGCCAGTTACAATTCAGCCAGGGTTAGTAGTGAATACTAGTACAATTGAGGGGTGCTTTCAATGACCTAGGTGGAGTGAGTTGGTAATTTCAGTCAAGTTCCCAGTGGACAATTGCCTACGTCACAACACCCACCACTGCTACTGTCTCAAAATATCATCCTTGCTGTCCATCCAGCAGAGAGGTCAAGGGTTAAATAATGATGGAAAATGAACTTCCCTTTCATCCTTAGAATTTATCCCTTTACTAGAGTAGTATCCAGCTTCTGATCCTTAAGGGTGATTGTGTTAAGAAAGCTTGTATCTGATGATATATATGAATTGAAAACTACCTATGAGCCATGTTCTGAGATTTTTAAACTGAAATGATTGAATCGGCCCTGTTGCTACAGGAAGGAAGTAGGGGACACTGAACAGCAGTTCTCTACAGTTGATAATCACAACGTCATGGGTTGGCCACCTGGTACATTGAAGGGGAGAGAGGAGGGAGCTTTGGCTGCTCCATTATCTGTTCCCCTGACAGGTTGTGGGAGCCCTAAGGAATGCATGATAAAAGCACTTGATTGTCTCTACCTGAGCATCAGAGAGCAGGTAGCAAAAGACATCCTCCTCCACCACACAACCATAGAGAGGTGAAGGGGAGGAGAAGGTGATAACCAAAATCCAATTACAGCTTCCGGATTCGCTGCTCCAACACAGGTTGGAGAATATTCTAGAGTTGCTCTAACTTGCATCAACTGACAATGGTCTCCTAAGGTAGCATGCTAGCGGGATAGCCAGCATGCTCCACCCACTTCTCCCTATGCCTGTCACATCCTTCTGCACCAGGAGTTGTGGGGCGATACATATAAGAGTTGACTACACCAGGTCTCTTGCCTGTTTGGGATTCCCTTATACCTGTGGAATCCCCAGCTGGAGACTTGTAGGTGGTTTCTGCTTTCTTTGTGCTGCCTTTGAGCAGAGAAGCAGAGAATTTGTCCCAAATCTTGACTGTTGTCCTTTGATTTTTGAAATAATATATTTGACCTTCAAAGTGAAAAGGTTATTGCTGTAGAATATGATTTAGGCATGTTGGTTAGGGCAATGTGGGAAGTTTGCTTTTCTGATGCAACTATTCCATGGAAAAAGAGGACTTGAATTAATCTGGTATCTTTCAGAAGAAATAATTCACACCTTCATCCCACATGATATAATAATTAATTAATTAATAATAAAAAGTCCTACCTGGAAAGCCAGAATTCCTGGCAGTGACTGGATGTCTGTGCTGGTAACTGATGAGTTTACTCTTTGAATTTCCTGGCCTGTTTTCAGCCAAATTCTTCATGTTGTTTAAACATTTTTTATTATAAAATTTGTCTAGGTAAATAAAAATTAAAAAAAACTCCAAAAGATTTGGAAGCTTTAAAATTTTTTAATACTTTCATAGGAATCAGAACTTTGCTCATTCTTATTTCCACAGTCATTGATCACCATTTTAAAATGTGAGAGTTTTACCTTTGCAACTAGATAATGTTACCACAGTATTCATTATTTAGCTGTAAAGGTAATTATTTAACTCTTTATTTTTTTTATGTCAGCCACTGTATTTTTGGGACATCCACTATTTTATGGGTAGAGGTTGTTGTTTCTTTAATTCAGCATTTAAAAATATTTTAATGTGAAAAAGATAAATGCTCATTAAAAGAAAATGTAGGCATAACATTATTAAAAATATATCTGCATTAATACTTTTCATCATTGACTATTATTTGTTATACGTAAGTAAATGCTAGTTAAGGAAGACATTATCAGATACCTGTATTTAATTTTAATTTATATTTCAAGCCTAGGTAGATTGCTACACAGTATATGAAATTCTATATATTTTTTTAAAACCAAGTAAATGGAAATCCAGTAACCCTGCTAAACCATTAGTTCTCTAGCTGTAGTCTGTAGACTGCCAGTAATCTGTGGAGAGCTGATTAGTCACATTATTCTGGTATTTCTTTTTGTTTCCAGCTGTGTCACTTTTTCCCAATATTACTTTTCCATATGAGCAGTTTTTGTTGTTGTGCTGGCATGTTATTTGATTACCAGACTCAGGGGAACTGGCGTACATAATAATGAGAAGGCAAAAAGACAATCAACCAGCCTCTCTCTCTTAAGATATAGTCCACTTTGGGAGAGTTTGAGAATCCATGCTTTAGACAATATATTTGCAGGAGTGCTCCAGCTAATGTTTTATCTGTGTTTTGATGGTAGTTAATTGGAAAATCAAAGTCAGGAAGGTCCTTAAATGAAGAATCTGGAGAGGAAGACGCTGAGAGAAAAAAAAAAGGGACATTTTTCTCCTGGTCAAGAAGTAAGAGTGTGGGGAGATCGCAGAAAAAAAGGGAAAATGATGACTACCAAAATGGTGAGTTTCCAAGTCCTGCTTTGTTGCAAGATTGCTTTAGCAACAGACAGAATTGCTCCCACTGTTAACACTCAGCAAGGAATCTACACCTCATTACTACACATGACCTGAGATTTTTAATGATCTGCTGAGCTGTGACAGAGGGAAATGGTGATGTCCTGCACCACAATAGCCAGGAACAGTCCTGGAGATCTGTAGACAAAAGGCTGGGGAATGAGAAATTGGTAATATTATTTTGATGTTCTGGACCAATGGGATTTCCCTCAGCTGTTTAAATGTGCTTTCACCAATTTCCAAGAGGTTTTTTTCTGTCCACCCAGCTGCACTCTCACTGTAAGTTGACTCTCATCCTCTCTTACATTCATATCCTACCTTGACTCCTCCATGAAGGCCAAACAGCTAGATATGGAAATAAAGCCATAGGTGTGGCTATGCCCAAGTTCCTTCAGCTGAAGTTCATGGTGCTGCAATTGTGGTGCTCTTTTTGCTTCCCTTCACGACCAACTACTGTAGATCCAGAGTTACAGAGTCTGTCTCCCATCTCAGGGCAGACAGATTGGCCCCTTACAAGCAGGTCTGTGGCAGACTAGGAGACTTTAGCTCCACTTTACCTTGGGGTTAGATTGGTGAGTCCACCCACTTCAACCAGGCTGGTAACATTAGGAACTGAAACTGTTGCCTCCCATTCACAGCAGGTGACATGTCACATGCAATCTCTGAGCCAGTTTCTGGCTGCCCCTTTCTCTCCAGCACTTCTCTGTCTGGGGTGAGTAGTTCTTCAAAGGAGCCCCCCTACTGCAGTCCTACAGCATGGTTGTACAGGTTCAAGCAATTCATCTTGCAGGGACAAAGTAACTTTTAGAAGATAAAACAAAGCAGAGACATGGAGTAAAAAAACCAAAATATTCCAGTTCCCTTTCCCCCAAGTCAGGATAGTTCATCAGAAAGTTAGTGCATTGTGTTTTGTAGGCACCATGGTCACAGTGCACAAGTTCCCACATCCTCTCACAAATGATTGGGATGTTCCTCTCAGACCCTTATTTTAAAATATGGGCTTTCAGTTTCCATAGGAAGAAATGTTTTCTTAAAAGGGATTTACTCTATAGGTCTGTTACCTGAGTTTTATTGTAAGTGTGTTAAAAAGCTAAGGAACAATCCAGCTGAAGAAATCACAGAAACCAGCCTCTACTAGGAGTGTAGCTGAGAAAAGAAAATTTTGCAAGCCATTGATTTTTCACTCTGACTAGTAAGTTGGAACTGCAGAAGGAAACCCTCACTCAGTCAAAGTGGTGAGTGCTTTGTTGTAGAAACCTAGTTTACAGATAGGGAAATTACTTCTCCCTATAAAAAAACAAAACAAAATCCCTGAAGGAGGCATAGAGGAACAATTTTTAAGGAGGGAGAATGAATTCCACAGGCACAGAATGTTACTAAAACACAATCTAATTGGCAGAGACTGGGTTGTGTAGCCTGTTCATTCAACTGCTAGTCAGTCAGTAGCTTTTGTTGAGAAAATTGCAGCTCTTGTATGATGGCAACACTAAACTATTTTTAGATAAATGAGGTCTGGGCTAATTGCACTGTGTTTGAAGTAATTTCTATTAGTGAAAGTATTTGCATCTCTGTAGTTGATTGCAATGAAAGAGCACCACATTTTGGCAACTGCAGAGGCTTGCACAAAACAATTAACAGGCAAACAGTTTTAAAAAAAATTGCAAAAACAAAACTACAAATTCTGAAATCCATTGCAGTAGTCAGCTGCTCTAAGGCATTGTATTTACTGCTGTTTCTTCTTCCACACCATCTGCCTACCATGGTTCTTGAAAAAGCCTTGTGAGCTGTCCAGTTGATGTCAGGGGGGTCATGTACGTGAATGAGGGCTATAGAATCAGATACTAAGGTTATAGATCTAAACTTTAATAAGTGACAAGGGATTCAGTTCTCAATTTTTGGGTGTCCAACTTGAGACACCTTAAAAGAGCCTGATTTTCAGGGATCTGGTACGCACCTTGAAGGTATTGTAAATTGGTAGTCACTTTTTAAAATATAGGCAATCACCTCCAAGAACAGGGACTTTGTCTTTTCAAAAAGCCATGAACACCTGTAGTGTTATATAAGCAATAAATAATTACATTTAAAAGATGTTTAAATGTTCAGCATGTGAAGATAGTACAAGGATTTGGAATTTTTCTTTCCCAGATCAGAAAATGAATATTTTAGCCAGATGACTTGAGGTTTTGTAGCACCTTTAATGAATAGTAAAAGCAAGCATTTCTACTTATCACTCTGCTTTTCCCACTCTCAGATTCTATGCATACCAACGGATTATTTTGCAGACGTGAATCACAAGGCTCTATGTCGTCAGCTGCAAGTCTTGAACTGGTAAGGGCCAGCTCCTTAGAATCAAATAGTATGAGAGGAATGAAAAAAAATGGGAGTGATTGTTACCTAGGAAATCAATAATAGCCCCATTTTTCTGCAATAGTATAAATAAACAAAATGTATATATGTATTTGAATGTAAATTTCATAATACTTTTTGGACTGAATTTTAAATTTTTTTTTATAGCTATACTCATTTTGTGAAATAAGAAGGGTCTGGTTGTTTAAACAGGTTGTCAGATGAATAGTTAAATATTTTTAAAGAACACTTATAGTGCTACTTGTGATCCTAAACTATCTTGCTTATAATCGAAGGATAAATATCTCTTTTATGCATTTCATATACCTGCTTTTTAAAATTGTCCTGCCATCTACAAGCTATCCTGTCCATCCTGTCTCCTAGCTACCCCAACTCTCCTGTTCCTTTGGACATTATAATAAAGGTTTTATAGGGTCTTTCAATCCAAGGACACTAAAGCTCTTTACAAACTGACCCACCTTGCCTCCCAGCTACTGCAGCTCTTAACTCTGCCATGAACAATTGCCTGTTGAATTGCTTTTTGGGTCCTCTTCCTCTTGACTATATATGAGTTTGAGCTCATTTCCTTGATGCCCCAGCTCTCTCCAGCCCCAAAGCTGAGTGTCCCTCCTCCTGATCACTGTAGCTTGACTCTGTTCCCAGTGTTTGAGGGATAAAAGAGTGAAGCATTCCCCAGCAGCATTTGCAACTAAAACACCACAACACATGCTCATATGTGGAGAAACAAGAAGTGAAGACACAGTCGTTATAAACAATGTAGTTCCACCTTCACAGTCCAAGCTGAATGAAATGCACAAAGTAAACAATATAAATAATGAAAAGTAAACTTAAAATTTAATATAACCCTAGATTTAAAGTGAATTTTAACAAAGCGTATAAACGAATATAATTTTAAAATATCCTTTTTTATCCTGACAGTACCTGTTTGACTTACAAATTTGATTCTAAGAATCAGACAGATTCTTGTTGATATATGTGATGCTAGTGAGCAAGCAGAGAAATAAACAGTGAAGAGCCATATTGGTAGCATCTATTTAAACTGAGTGTTTATTAAATACTTCAAAATATTACCTTGTAAAAACAATGCTTTGTGTGTACTAAGATGACTTTTCGTGGCTATAATTAGGGCCTTACCAAATTCACAGCCGTGAAAAACGTATCACAAACTGTGAAATCTGGTTTTCCTCGTGAAATCTGGGTACTGAAGGAGGGTCACGGTATTGACACCCTTACTTCCGTGCTGTGTTCAGAGCTGGATTCTGGAGAGCTATGGATTCTGGCCAGGCACCCAGCTCTGAAGGCAGCGCCGCCAGCAGCAGTGCAGAAGTGAGAGTCGCATGGTATGGGAGAGGGTCATCACTTTTCGGAGGAGCAGGGCCGGCCTTATAGGTTGGGGAAACAGTGGGCCCGGGGACGGTCTGGGCTGGGGACTCCTACTGTGCGATGAGCTTGAGCTGCCGGGCTAGGGAGGGACAGGACTTTCTCTTCCCTTGCACAGGCCACTCCAAGGGCCAGATCAGACCCACCTCTGGGAACTTCCCTGGCTGCAGGAAGCTCCATTGCTGCTGGCTGGGAGCCAGCTCTGAAGGCAGCCCTGCTGCCAGTAGCAGTGCAGAAGTAAAGATGACAATATCGTAACCCCCTACAATAGCCTTGTGACTGCCCACACTACCTCTGTTTGGGTCAGGACCCCCACAGTTACAACACCTTGAAATTTCAGATTTAAATATCTAAAGCCGTGAAATGTAAGATTTTTAAAATCCTATGACCGTGCAATTTGTCAAATTGAACTGTGAATTTGGTAGGGCAGTTCCCAGCGGTTATTCCCCCAGGGGCCACAGGGTCGTGCTGGCTGCTTCCGGGAGTGGCGCAGAGCCAGGGCAGGTAGGGAGCCTGCCTTAGCCCCACGGCACCTCTGGAGGGGGAGGAGTTGATCAGCGGGGCCCACAGAACCCTGGGAGTACACTTGGGGACCCCCAGCAGTACGTGGACTCCAGTTTGAGAAACGCTGCATGGAAACTTCAGGGAAGGCGGTGTGGTACTGCCTCCTGCTTTCCCCCTGGGCTGACTTCTCCCTTCCTGGGGTGGCTGCACTTGAAGTGCAGTTTGGCATAATTTGGAGCCTGTTGCCACCTGTGTGGGTGAATCTGGACCATAGACTACCAGCTTCCATTTCTCTGTGATGCATTTCTACTTGTAGGACGTTGGTTGACATATATAACGTGGCAGAAAATTTTTGAGAAAATTGATTTTTCTAGGCATCAGTCATTTTATACATAGCATCTTCGTATATCTGTAGTGCTGTCATAGGAAAACAGTGGTACATTACATATGCAGATAATTAGTTAATGTAGACAGTTACTTATTTGTAACTTAAGCAACTTTATAATTATTTATGCTTTATATATTTTCACAAGAAGTTACTCTACTCTACAGGGTGGGCTCTCTTTCACACTACCCCTCCCCCCCAAGATATTGAAGTTCTTTGATTTACACGTTTTTTCTGAAAGCAAAACGCCATCCAAAAATTCAACTATTTTTAAAGTATGTTTAGATTTGTGAAGTTTGGTCTGTGGTAGCGTCTTTGTCTTAAGTGGAAATAATTCTAAAACAATTACCTGGTAATCGAAATATTCTGAAGGAAGGGTAAACCCCAAACATGGTTAAAAATGTGTTCCCTTTTTTAATTTGATTTGTTGGACTGTAATATTGTGTATTTGTTCTTAACTTTCATTTTTGTTTCTGACAAGTCTGATGCCTCTCGGGTATCTGCATCTTTACCTGATAAAGAGAAATCCTCAAAATACTGCTGTATAAACCTTCCAGATGGCTCATCCTGTAAAATGGTTGTTAAATCAGGATTCTCAGTCAAAGAGATGTTATCTGGGCTCTGTGAGAAACATGGCATTAACATAGCTGCAGTAGACCTATTTTTAGTTGGAGGAGACAAGGTACTGTATGTTCCTATGCTTTTTTTCAAAAACTCAGACTTCCTAATCAGTTTACATATATGGGATTATTGATTATTTAGAGGAATACTCTACCGCTTTATATTCAGACTTCACATTGACAATAATGGGATTTATGTGTGTTGCTCAATGGAAGAATATTAGTGAGATCATTACTGGAATACTGTGTCCATTTCTGATACTACATTTTTAAAAGGATATTGAAAAAATGGAAAGGGTTCAGGAGAGAGCTACAAGATTTGAGGTCTGGAAAACATGCCTTAGAGGGAGGAGATTAAGAACTTTAGTCTGTTAAGTTTGTCTGAGAGAGGTTTAAGCAGTGACTTCATAACAACCTACAGTATCTACATGGAGAAGAAGTTTTTGATAGACAGCTCTTTAATCTGACAGAAAAAGGCATAACAAGATCCAGTGATTGAAAGCTGAGGCTAGACAAATTCAGATCAGAAATAAGGTGTACTTTTTTTAACAGTGAGGGTATTTAACCATTGGAACAATATATGAAGCAAGGTGATGGATTCTCCATCATTTGAAGTCTTTAAATCAGAACTGGATATCTTTGTACAAGAGATGCTATGGTTCAAAAAAGTTATGGGCTTGATGAAGATTTTGTCTAGTGTTATGCAAGAGATAAGATTAATGATCCCTTCTAGATTTAAAAACTGTGACTATGATCCTAATTTACTTGTCTTCCTTGTAAAATAATCTGTTCTTTTAAATCTTTCTGCCAACATTATTTTGTCGTATTTTCTGATGTATCATTCTGTTTGTTCAGCCCCTTATGTTTAAGTGCCCAGGCCTTGTATGAGATGCTGAGAGCTCTCAATACCCATTGACTTTAATGGAAGTAGGAAATTGCTAAGCACCTCACAGAATTGGCCCCTACATCTTTTGGAACTAGCCAGAGAAAAAAAGAAACTAATCATGTTGCTTGCTGTAAATTAATACAATAATAGCCATACACACAAAGCTTAATAATAGTTCTGTCTCTCTTCCTGGGCTAATTTTAAAATGGCTTCTTTTGTTCTGCGCAGCTGTTACATATTGTTAAATGATATATAACAAGTGACATGTACCCAATTTAACATATTTTCTCTTCTTTTGTTCCAACCATATGCTCTATAGCCACTTGTATTGCATCAAGACAGTAGCATCTTGGATTCTCGGGATCTACGTTTAGAAAAGCGTACTTTATTTCGGTAAGAGAAAAAATATTATCTTTTTGTGACATTTTCCGCTCCAGCTAATGTAAATGCTCCAGAATGCATTCTGAGTTATATCTGTTCAATAAAATAAAGGTGAGTGTAACACAGAATAACATTTGGTATGCTTGTGGCACCTTAGAGACGAACAAATTTATTTGAGCATAAGCTTTCGTGAGCTACAGCTCACTTCATCGGATGCATTCAGTGGAAAATACAGTGGGGAGATTTATATACACAGAGAACATGAAACAATGGGTGTTACCATACACACTGTAATGAGAGTGATCAGGTAAGGTGAGCTATAACTAGCAGAAGACCGGAGGGGGGACACCTGTATTTCCCATGTATTTTTTAAAAATTATTTTAGAACATATTAATCTGTTTTTTTAGATTTATCTCAAAATGAAATAATACTTCATGCAAGCTATATATAAAAATGTTGAGCTAATAGATAGTTTTAAATTATCTGAAACTACTTAAGAACGGTCATCCTGGGTCAGACCAAAGGTCCATCTAGCCCAGTATCCTGTCTTCTGACAGTGGCCAATGCCAGGTATCCTAGAGCGAATGAACAGAACAGGTAATCCTTGAGTGGTCCATTCCCTGTCACTCATTCCCAGCTTCTGGCAAACCGAAGCTAGGATCACCATCCCTGCCCATCCTGGCTAATAGCCCTTGATGGACCTATCCTTCATGAACTTATCTAGTTCTTTTTTGAACCCTGTTATAGTCTTGGCCTTCACAACATCCTCTAGCAAGGAGTTCCATAGGTTGACTGTGCGTTATGTGAAAAAAATATTTCCTTTTGTTTGTTTTAAACCTGCTGTCTATTAATTTCATTTGATGACCCCTAGTTCTTGTGTTATGAGAAGGAGTAAATATCACTTCCTTATTTACTTTCTCCACACTAGTCATGATTTTATAGACCTCTATCATATCCCCCCCCTTAGTCATCTCTTTCCCAAGCTCAAAAATTCCCAGTCTTATTAATCACTCTTCATATGGAAGCCCTTCCATACCTCTAATCATTTTTGTTGCCCTTTTCTGAATCTTTTCTAATTCCAGTATATCTTTTTTGATATGGGGTGACCACATCTGCATGCAGTGTTCAAGATGTGAGCGTACCATGGATTTATATAGAGGCAATATAATATTTTCTGTCTTATTATCTATCTTTTTCTTAATGATTCCCAACGTTCTGTTTGCTTTTTTGACTGCCGCTGCACATTGAGTGGTTGTTTTCAGAGAACTATCCACAGTGACTCCAAGATCTCTTTCTTGAGTGGTAGTAGCTTATTTAGACCCCATCATTTTTACCTCTCTCCATTCTGAAAACTAACCATTTATTCCTACCCTTTGTTTCCTATCTTTTAATCAGTTACTGATCCATAAGAGGACCTTCCCTCTTATCCAGTGGTGGGAAACTACAGCCCGGGGGCCGCATCCAGCCCTCCAGACGTTTTAATCCAGCCCTTGAGCTCCAGCAGGGGAGAAGGTTCTGGGGCTTGCTCTGCTCTGGTGCTCCAGCTGGGGAGCAGGGTCAGGGACTTGCCCCACTCTACACGGCTCCCAGAAGCAGTGGCATGTCGCCACTCCGGCTCCTGTGTGTCGGGGCAGCCAAGGGGTGCCGCACACTGCCGCCACCCCAAGTGCCGCCCCCGCAGCTCCTATTGTCTGGGAACCGCAGCCAATGGGAACTGCAGGGACGGCGCCTGCAGACGGGGCAGTGCGCAGAGCTGCCTGGCTGCGCCTCTGCATAGGCAATGGAGAGGTGACATGCCGCTGCTTCTGGGAGCTGCTTGAGGTAAGCACTGCCCAGAGCCTGCACCCCTGACCCCCTCTTTCCTCCCAACCTCCTTCCCCAGCCCTGATCCCCCTCCTGCCCTCCAAACTCCTCGGTCCCAGCCCGGAGCACCCTCCTGCACCCCCACCCCTTCATCCCCAGAGCCTGCAACCCCCAGCCGGAGCCCTCACAGCCCACCCCCGAAACCCAACCCCCAATTTCGTGAGCATTCATGGCCCGCAATACAATTTCCAAACCCAGAGGTGGCTCTCGGGCAAAAAGGTTTGCCCACCCCTGCTCTAACCCCATGACCATGTACTTTGCTCAAGAGACTTTGGTGAGGGACCTTGTTAAAGGCTTTCTGAAAGTCTTAACACATTAACTCCACTGGATAACGGTTGTCAAAGAATTCTAATAGATTGGTGAGGGATGATTTTCTTTTATAAAAGCCATTTTGACTCTTCCCCAACAAATTGTGTTAATCTGTTTGTCTCATCATTCTGATCTTTACTATAGTTTCAAGCAATTTTCCTGGTTCTGAAGTTAGGCTTACCGGCCTGTAATTGCCAGGATCGCATCTGGAGCCTTTTTTAAAAACTGGTGTCACATTAGCTGTCCTCCAGTCATCTGGATTAGACACTGATTTTAATGATATGTTACATACCATACTTAGTAGTTCTGCAGTTTTGTATTTGAATTCCTCTTGAGTGAATACCATCCGGTCTGGTGACTTATTACTGTTTAATGTATCAGTTTGTTCCAAAACCTCCTCTATTGACATCTCAGTCTGGTATAGTTCCTCAGATTTGTCACCAAAAAAGAGTGTCTCAGATGTGGGAATCTCACTCACATCCTCTGCAGTGATGACTGATGCAAAGAATTAATTTAACTTCTCTGCAATGGAGTACTTAAAACATACTTCCTCCAAAGATAAATATCCTCTGTTCATCGCTATCGTTGTTTCTGTTCTTACATGTGAAACTGGAGCGCTGCCTAGCAATCTTACATATTAAGTTTAGAATTAATCTTTATAGGAATCTATAACAAATCTCAGTCTCCAATAGTCAATTAATTTTTTTCTCAGATGTACAGGGGAAATACTGATGTTACAATCAAGCATAATAAGAAAATTGTTCCCCTTCAACCTGTCTGTCTATAACAGTTTTATATCTCTTTGATTGTAGTTCCATTTTTATTTACCATCCAGCTGAACACGTGGTACCATGAGGAAGTACATATGTGGCTACAGTGGCCACTGTTTTCTAAGAATTCCGGCTTGATGGTGTGGTGCACATACAATGTTTAACATGGAGAAACTATATTGAAAATAAAGGAGAAGACTAATGGAATTAGAAATAGAAAAGGCATAATATATATTCCTTGGAACACACTAACTTAATAGTCTCCCCATTAGTTTTTACATCCTTATAAACAGTCAACCTGTTATAAGTTAGGGGGAGGGATAGCTCAGTGGTTTGAGCATTGGCCTGCTAAACTCAGGGTTGTGAGTTCAATCCTTGAAAGGGCCATTTAGGGATCTAGGGTAAAAAAATTGGGGATGGGTCTTGCTTTGAGCAGGGGGTTGGACTAGATGACCTCCTGAGGTCCCTTCCAACCCTGGTATTTGATTCTATGAACCTATTTGTCCCATTCAGCATTGCTTGACCAAGTTATTTATTTAGCTTTATTGTACTTTCAGACCACATTTTTCAAGCTAGAAATACTTTAATTTCCTAGCAGTCCTTCGGTATTTTAATTAATATTTTCTTTATTTTATCTATAAGTTACTTGTCTACTTTTGTAGGATTGATTTCTGTAGAAGGATACGTCTTCATTAATTTACTGATTCTCGCTAAGACTCTGAGCAATCTTATTATTTGTGGTTTTGTTCAGTTTTCAAATTATTTTAGCTCTAAAATGGTTATACCATATGTTGCTACTCTTTCTCTAAAACAATTATTAGGTTTGGAGAGATTGCATAATTTCAACTGACGAAGTGGGTATTCACCCACGAAAGCTTACGCTCCAATACGTCTGTTAGTCTATAAGGTGCCACAGGACTCTTTGCCCCTTTTACAGATCCAAACTAACACGGCTACCCCTCTGATAGAATCATAGAATATCAGGGTTGGAAGGGACCTCAGGAGGTCATCTAGTCCAACCCCCTGCTCAAAAGCAGGACCCATCCCCAATTAAATCATCCCAGCCAAGGCTTTGTCAAGCCTGACCTTAAAAACTTCTAAGGAAGGAGATTCCACCACCTCCCTAGGCAACGCATTCCAGTGTTTCACCACCCTCCTAGTGAAAAAGTTTTTCCTAATATCCAACCTAAACCTCCCCCACTGCAACATGAGACCATTACTCCTTGTCCTGTCCTCTTCCACCACTGAGAATAGTCTAGAACCATCCTCTCTGGAACCACCTCTCAGGTAGTTGAAAGCAGCTATCAAATCCCCCCTCATTCTTCTCTTCTGCAGACTAAACAATCCCAGTTCCCTCAGCCATTCCTCATAAGTCATGTGTTCCAGACCCCTAATAATTTTTGTTGCCCTTCGCTGGACTCTCTCCAATTTATCCATATCCTTCTTGTAGTGTGGGGCCCAAAACTGGACACAGTACTCCAGATGAGGCCTCACCAATGTCGAATAGAGGGGGATGATCACGTCCCTCGATCTGCTGGCTATGCCCCTACTTATACATCCCAAAATGCCATTGGCCTTCTTGGCAACAAGGGCACACTGCTGACTCATATCCAGCTTCTCGTCCACTGTCACCCCTAGATCCTTTTCCGCAGAACTGCTGCCTAGCCATTCGGTCCCTAGTCTGTAGCTGTGCATTGGGTTCTTCCATCCTAAGTGCAGGACCCTGCACTTATCCTTACTGAACCTCATCAGATTTCTTTTGGCCCAATCCTCCAATTTGTCAAGGTCCCTCTGTATCCTATCCCTGCCCTCCAGCGTATCTACCACTCCTCCCAGTTTAGTATCATCCGCAAATTTGCTGAGAGTGCAATCCACACCATCCTCCAGATCATTTATGAAGATATTGAACAAAACCGGCCCCAGGACCGACCCCTGTGGCACTCCACTTGACACCGGCTGCCAACTAGACATGGAGTCATTGATCACTACCCGTTGAGCCCGACAATCTAGCCAACTTTCTACCCACCTTATAGTGCATTCATCCAGCCCATACTTCTTTAACTTGCTGACAAGAATACTGTGGGAGACCGTGTCAAAAGCTTTGCTAAAGTCAAGATACAATACATCCACTGCTTTCCCTTCATCCACAGAACCAGTAATCTCATCATAGAAGGCGATTAGATTAATCAGGCATGACCTTCCCTTGGTGAATCCATGCTGACTGTTCCTGATCACTTTCCTCTCATGTAAGTGCTTCAGGATTGATTCTTTGAGGACCTGCTCCATGATTTTTCTGGGGACTGAAGTGAGGCTTACTGGCCTGTAGTTCCCAGGATCCTCCTTCTTCCCTTTTTTAAAGATTGGCACTACATTAGCCTTTTTCCAGTCATCCGGGACTTCCCCCGTTCGCCACGAGTTTTCAAAGATAATGGCCAATGGCTCTGCAATCACAGCCGCCAGTTCCTTTAGCACTCTTGGATGCAACTCGTCCGGCCCCATGGACTTGTGCACGTCCAGCTTTTCTAAATAGACCCTAACCACCTCTTTCTCCACAGAGGGCTGGCCATCTATTCCCCATGTTGTGATGCCCAGCGTGTTGTGATAAGTTGTGATACTTAAAACTAAACTGAGACTTTATTCCAAATGTGGTTTTACTAAAGCATTATAAAATGATATAATTGATTCTGAACAGGAGTGTATTAATATTTATTTCAGGTCAACATTCTATCGGCTGTTCTTACTGCTGTTTCATACCAATCTTCTTATAGCAAAGTCATTAAAACAAAACATCTCACAAAACAGTATCATCCTGAGTATAAATTTACTTTATCTGAAATAGTAATTTATACATTCCAGTTTGATAAATTGGGACGTTCATTAGACTTTGCTGTGGTTCAAATCCTTTCCCCATTGCCCAGCCTGACTAGCTGGGCTGGATGCCCTGGACCTCCTTCGGAGAGGTGGGAAAACTATTTTTCTCCGTGTCACAGGGCAGCACAAGTTTCCTTCCCCTTGTCCCTGCACCCTGTGCTTGGGCTGGCAAAAGAAAGGGCCTCAGACGCCTCTTGTAGGTGCTTCACCTGTTTTCTTTTATTTACAATGGCTTTACAGTCCCAATTCCCCCAACACCGGTCCCCGCTTCGACCCCTCACTGGGTCTTCTGGCCTTTGAGGCTTGTGTCAGCCAGCAGAGACAGAGCCACAACCCTCCTATTCTCCTGCCTGGCTAGCCACCCCTCACTGAGCTCTTCCCTGGGTTTATATTTCTTCCCAATCATCCACCCAGCTGGTTCCACTTGTCTCAGCAGATTACACAGAGCCTGCCCTGACATACCAGTCAGTAGAACAGGAACAGAGTTACTCCACAGCTGCTGTATCATAATGGTCCAAGTAGCCTCCATGGAAAGAGGTAAAAGACTGGAGGCTCTGTGTAGCTACACTAGGAGTCACTACAGATGTATGTGGGCTCCTGACCTTTCCTCACTCTGTCTGCTGAAACAGCAATGATTCCACTGTGCTGAAGGTGCTCTGCGCTTGCAGAAGAGTGGGGAGGATTTTTGCTTATTAATGGAAGTACACTATATCCAAACTCACTTTATTTGGTTCCTAGATTAGATTACAAACATTTTCACTTTTGGTTTATTTGAATAGCAAACACTTATTGCAACATTTGATATGTTTCAGGCTGGATCTTGTTCCAATCAATAGATCAGTTGGTTTGAAGGCTAAACCTACTAAGCCAGTAACGGAAGTTCTACGGCCTGTGGTTGCAAAATATGGCTTAAATCTTAATGAACTTGTGGCAAAACTAGTAAGTATCTTTTGGTGTAAAACAGGGGTGGGTGAACTACGGCCCGAGGCCTCATCCGGCCCTCTAGACTTTTTAATATGGCCCTTGAGCTCCTGCCAGGGAGCAGGATTGGGGGCTTGCCCCGCTCCATGCATCTCCTGGAAGCATCAGTGTGTCCTCCCTCTGGCTCCTACGCATAGGTTCAGCTGGGGGGCTTCACATGCTGCCCCGCCCCAGGCGCGGCCCCCGCAGCTCCCATTCCCAGGAAACGCGGCCAATGGGAGCTGCAGGGATGGTGCCTGCGGATGGGGCAGCACTCAGAACTGCCTGGCCGCGCCTCAGCGTGGGAGCCAGAGGCGGGGGAATGTGTCACTACTTCTGGGAGCTGCTAGAAGTAAGTGCCGCCCAGAGCCTGCATCCCTGACCGCCTCCAGTGCCCCAATCCCCTGCCCCAGCCCTGATCCCCCTCCTGCCCTCCAAACCCCTCAGTCCCAGCCCAGAGCACCCTCCTGTGCCCCCAACTCCAGAGCCCGCACCCCCAGCTGGAACCATCACCCCCTCCCGCACCCCAACCCCCAATGTCGTGAGCATTCATGGCCTGCCATACAATTTCCATACCCAGATGTGGTCCTCGGGCCAAAAAGTTTGCCCACCCCAGGTGTAAAATCTGTAGTATTGCTTGTCTGGAAAAGAGTATAGAGTATTCCAAGAAATTTAGTATAGGCTCATCTTTATGCATGAAAATGTATTCTATAACTGCCTGTATTTTGGGATGAGAATATGCAATAGTCATAGCCTTCATTCTTCAGATAGTTTGACTATGGCTTTGTCTGGGCCTGCTTTTTCTTGGCCATCTGTGGCCCTCCTTCCCCCCCCAATTCCTGCTCCCTTTTAAGAGGCTTCATTTCAGACCAAAACATACCAATTGAGGAAGGCTGAACATAAGCCTCCTCCATAGTCCATTCTTTCCATTCCTCTGTCAGCCAGAAGGTGTCATTTGAGAGCAATTAAAACTGTTGCCCCTATTAACCTGGAAAGCACAGAAATCAGCTCCAGACTGTTGACAGCTTATAGGTCTACCGTTGGGTTGTCAGACTGGCCAGTCCATAATACGTTGCAGACAAATGACTCGTGTCCATTATGATCAAAGCAATTATGGACAGTGTTGGTTTGACAATTATAGGGAAGATAGCAGAGGATTCTTGGGGGTACGCTGAAGTATAACTGTATTAGCTAGTGTTCTATTTTAAATACCAAGTTGTAAATTCAAGTTGTTTTGAAAACCATTGTTTTTCTCTATTTTACACAAACTGTGATCTAACTTCAGAATGGTGATCAGGAACCACTAGATCTTGGTGTCCCTATATCTAATCTGGATGGTCAACGAGTTGTATTATATGAAAAAGAGCCAACAAAAGGAAGAGGTAAGAGGTTCTGAAAGTTTTTATGAAGTGCGTAACGAGCCTCATCAAGCCTGACTTTACATTCATAGAAAAAATAAATTTACATGAGGAAATAGTGTTAGGATGAAGGATTTGATTTATAGGATAGAATGGGAAAACATTTTATAGGAATTAAAGGTAAATGTGTGACTTTTCATCTTGTAGCAAATTTTGTAACTCTTAAAAAATATTTTTTCTCCTTAGTACCCTACAAGCACTTAGTTCATTAGAGAATGAAGTTCTCTCTTTTACCACAGGACAGGTACAACTTAGGGTATCAGCTACAACTGCTGGAGAGATGGATCATGTAAGGTGAGAAGACAGTGCAGTCTCCATCTCTATGCAATCCTTGGGCTCTGCAGAGACTGGCAAAAGAGTGCCAGTTGTGATTTTTGAGGTGGTGGATCTCTGTGAAATAGAAGCTGAACTAAGACTTAATTCACTTCAAATTGACCAGAGAACAGCAGTTAAATAATTATTTTTTGTCACTACTGACCTTCACTGGATTCAGAACAGGGGCCTGTAGATTAAAGGTTCCATGTACCATTAGTATCCCCCTTTATAGGTAAAAATCACGTGATTTTGTTAATGGATTTAGATTAGATTAAAATAAATGTTTAGAATGGTGGATCTCGAAGGGGAAATGAGTAAAATAGAGAGAGCTGTATTTGGCTGGGGGGAAGGGGAGTCAAATTTTATCACTTTTTTTGGGGACCAGAGTCATCTGTCCAATCATTTTGAAGAGAGACAGACCACAAAATGTAATTTACCTTAAAACTTCTATAACCCTATTGGTAGTGTTATTATAGGAACTAGGCACAAATGACCCACTTCTTTCTACACCGCCAAGTTATTTTGGGCATTAAACATTCGTAAATCATCACAGAATCACCACAGTAGAAAGATGATCCTGGAGCAGCATAGAATCAACATAGGCATTCTCATGCCACATATGCTTCCTGATACACCAGGGAAAAAGAGGCATGATTAAAGAGAGAGTGCTTTGTCAGGATGAACCTACATCAAGCTGATCCTGAGCTGGTTTTGGCCCTTTGTGTCTGTTGCAGGCAGATGTAAATTAAAGCAGCCCTGAGCTTAATTTAACAGTGTATGGAGAAAAAATGGAGATTCCCAAAGGGCAGTTGATGCACAAAGCAGATCTGAAAGGATTTGGGAGTTTCTTAATGCATTTTTCTGCATCTCCTGTTTTTAAAAAAAGACTCAGTTTTCATCTAAACTGAACCCTGTGACTGCAGATCTAGTGAAATTATGTCATCACAGAAGTCAAGAAAATTGAAAGCTTAGGAACAGAGAGGAAGAGAGATTTTTACTCACTCATTGCTTTTCATGTATTTTGTTAACAGCTATTGTACTCAATATTGTGAAGAAAAGCTGTCTTCCCTTTAGTTTTTTGACCCCTGCCACATCTTTTCAGTAAAGGTGTAAAAACTCATAATACATATGATTTGAGCCCAGAAAATCCAGGAAAGACTAGGTTGTTTTCTGCTTGATTTAACTTAAAAATATTGGGGATGTCAAGTTTGATCTTCCCTGGTTTTACTAGAGCTTGTTCTGGGGGGCCCCATAGCAGGGTATTTTATGTGTCGTATTTTAAATGTTAATATTCTGCTGAAGTGATATGTTTATAATTATAGAAGACATTTTTATGTTTAATGTTCACAGACAGACAAAAAGGCGCCCCAGTAAAACAAAGTACGGTTGTAACTTCTACTTCAAGAAATCAGTCATCTACAGTAAGTTTTTCTTAAATGATTTCTGCCACTCAGATTACCTTTTATTTTCTTCTCTCATCATAAAGTAGAAGCTTCAGGTATCTATGCTAAAAACAGTGTCCAGATTACCTAATTGAATTGGCTGCAGCTATAAATCATCCTATTCTTTCTGTCAGACTTCATCTGTGGGGGTTTAATCCTGCTTTTTCACCAGTGTGCAACCATGAATTGAGTAGCAGTGAGTGTTTTATGGCTTTTATATTCTTGGCTTTCTATATCAGCTGAGTGGATCATCTTTATCAAAACCCATTAACTTTCTTGGAAAGCCAAGGCAAGTACTTGAGCCTACTACTTCAATGTAAATTTTGCTGTGCAAGCAATTTGCTCTTTGTAAATGGGATTTTTTCTTTTTTGGTGTGCAGTGTTAAATCTTTTTTGTAATGGTTAAGCTATAACATTTGTTGTATTTTTTAATCAGAGAGAGCTGTTTATAAAATATCCTTTTTATTCACTTAGAATCTATTACGCACATTTTGTGGTATATCCTAATTGTAAGAAGTACTTTAACTTTCCTTCTAATGCAGGGAGAGGGAAGAACTCTAGGAAAGTCTAATTCAATTAAAATAAAAGGCGAAAATGGAAAAAATGCTAGGGATGCTCGGCTATCAAAGAGAGAAGAATCTCTTGCAAAGATTGGGGGAAAAAAATATCAGAAAATTAATTTGGACGAAGCAGAGGGTATGTCAACTTTTTAAGTATATGTAATAACATTAGTGTTCAAGGGAAAATGATAATTCCAATTCATGACTGTGGAAATCATAAGGACTGTGCATTTATCATTGTATGACGAAAATAACAGGCAAGTTCCTTATATGCTTGTTGCTGTTAACTTTGAACTGCTAATTTATTGAAGTCTAGGATAAAATTTTCAAACATGCCTGCAGGTTCTTAAAGGTATGTAGGCACCTATCTCATCTTAAGATGCCTAACAGGATTTTCAAAAGGGCTGAGGTTACTAACTCCCAGAGAAATCAATGGGTGTTAGATGCCTAAGAACTTTTGAAAACACACTAGATGTCTATCTGCATCTTTAGGTGCCTAAACAACTTTTAAAGTCTGGACTTAGATCCCCTTTTCAAAAGTCTCATAGGCTCCTAAGGGCCTAAGTTACTTTTGAAAGGGAGACTTAGGCTCCTAAATCACTTTGGCACTTTTGACAATTTTATCCTTAGCCTATGATAGCCAGATTACCACTACTTGAAAAGGGGTGGTGGTGGTTGTGTGGGGTGGTGGACAAGAACAGAAAGATTACTTTTCATTCAGTAAATGTTCTGTAAAGGTGGCTAGAAATGGTACAAGAGACAAGGCTGTGCCATAACTGGTCATTTTGCATTTTCTGAGCCAAATTCTTCCCTAAATTACATCTTTGAGAGACGATCACTTCATGGGGAATTCACTGATGACAGCAGAATTTGCCTTTCCGTGTATGTTTTCTGATGTGAAAAAATGAGAGATAATAAAGGTCACAGGGAGGTGAAGGAATAAGATCATTTTAAGGGTCGATATCTTTATATATTACTCCCTCCCACCCCCCAATCTCAAGGATTATTTGAAACAGTTTCCTATCCCACTAGCTTCAAAATAAAATGTGAAAATCAGAACACATATGCTAGCTAGGGCAAAAATTTAAATTTCATCATCATTACCACCTGATGTTCAAACAAAGGGCCTGATCCTGCAAAAAGCTGCACACAAATTACTTTATATAAGTGAATAACTGTCTGTAGGTTTGTACACAAGGAAGTACTGTAGCTGAAACCATTGTTGTGAATGGCTGTTAGTTTCTGAATGTTGCTGCAAAACATGTTAATGTCATTTTGATTGATTTATTTCTGTTTGCTACTTGAGTAGCTTGTTTTACCCGTTCTTATAAATTCATTTTCTTATTGAGGCCAAGTGAAATATTAACATAATTTGAAGACCTCAGAATCTGAGTCTTTCATATTTTATTTTGATTTTGTGAAATTGATCCAAGTTTGGGAAAGACCTATTGAATATTATAGAACATTTTTTAATGAAAAATCTTTATGAAATTTCAAAATTCAGGAAGAATCAGCTTTTGTCCAAAACACACACATTTCTGAAATATTTTATGTTTTGATGTGCATACTGCCATTTTGCAAAACTTTGGCAAAAATTATATTTTGGGGCTACAAAATGCTTTAGGTTCAAACTCCATGTATTTTCTAACATTTTGCAAACCTATTGAAAATTATTTTCACACAACACTCCTACTGATTCTGCCAAACCACCCAAAAGTAGTGTTAAAAAGTTGTAAGTAAAGTAAGTTCTAGGAGTGTAACATATGACTTTATATTATGTCAAAAAAACATTGTTGCTAAAACTAAACATTTTGGTTTTGCAGTGAAATTTGTTGATTTTTTTTATTTGGACGATCAGTGTAAACTGGGTTGAAACCACAAAACTGATTTCACGTGGGTCCTAAAATGAGTTTGAACTTTAATCTCCAGAAATGTAAAGATAGAATAGCTCCTGGAGCTTGATCCAGGGTGTAATCCTGCCCTTCTTCCTGAGTAAGGGGGATGTGAGAAGGTCCCATTTTAGCAATTTTGAAGCAGTTGGGTGATTGGTACCAAAGGGTTAAGTTATCATTGGGAGTTAAGTTATTTCATTTTTGGGAGCGGTATCCTTCTTGGCTCAAGGTCTAAAATTTCTGGTTGCTAAGCTTTGAGGCTTTCCAGAACAAAATAATGAATTATCCTAAATGTGTATCAGTTACACATATATAAATTATATTAAATCACAAAACATTATGATAAAACTAAGATTTTTCTCTTAAATCTACTCCATCAATGAGATTCAAAGTTTTGGCTAAAATTTCCAGATTGACACATTATTATTAAACTGAAAAAAAAAGTCTTGTAAGAGGATTGTCTACATTCTGGACCAATAAGCTTTCAGAGAGCTGACTATTTTTAAATTGAGGTGTGCAAAGAAGCATTTAGAATATACAAATGTGCATCCTAATCTTACAATCCGTTAAATTTCAGTAGGACCAAAGCTTTGTTATGTAATAAGAATTAAAAACACATAAAGATTCATTTTTAATGCGTAAAATAAAAAATTTGTTTAGGACGCAGACTTGGTATGCAGAATTTTAGCCCAGAGTGAAATGCAGCTGTTCTAAATTGCAAAACTGCTTACAGTAGCAATCTTGATTATCTTAATTATAATGCTGCTAGTGAACATTGCTGCAATTGAAAAAGTTCCTAATTAATATAAAATCTAATTTCAAGGCAGCATTGAAAATAACTGAAGGTATTCATTGAGAATAAATATGCTAATGGTTGACATTTTAATGGCTTTCATTTTCTGACAAAAATTTGTCAATTTTGGGTTTTCTTCTAAATAGAGTTTTTTGAACTCATATCCAAAGCTCAAAGTAACAGAGCAGATGACCAACGTGGGCTGCTAAGGAAAGAAGACCTTGTTCTACCTGATTTTCTTTGTTTACCTCCCAGTGGACAAGAACCACCCTCATCTACACCAGTGAGCTCTAAAGGTCTCAGCAAGAGAATTGCAAAAAATGATGGCAAGGATAAATGTGCACAGCCAAGTGGAAAACGGGAGTCTATGCAAAACTGTAATGAAAACTCAATTAAGAAAACAGGTCATTCAGAAAATAAACATAAGTCTGCTTTGACAACGCTCAACAGTCAGAAGACTTACGATGTTCCTTTTAGTGCCCCATTGTCTCCAATTGCACATGTACAGGAAAACAATACAACAATATGGAAAAGGCAATCAAGAGAATTACAGGCTGAAGGCATACAGACTATAGATGATGAAAATGTAGCAGACTTGACTCTTGTGGCTGAAGGAGATATTAGTAGCCCTAACAGCACCTTACTGCCGCCACCACCAACACCACGATCAGATATCAGTAAACTCACAGAAGCCAACTATCCACCACCAACTCCACTGGCAGGTAATCAGGAAAATTCTGGATATCAAAGATCCAATTCAGGTATTTCTAGTTTTTAATAGTCTTTCCTTTTATGTAAAATTATCTTCCCTTTATATTGTTTATCACTACAACAAACAAACAAAACTATCTCTGCACATTACATTTTAATTTTAAATAAGTTTTATTCCTTTATTCACTGTTAAGTTACATTTCTGGTTACCTTTAAAACATATTTTTGTCTGGACTGAGTACGTGTGTGCTAAACAAAATGAAAGGCTGCAAGTGACCTTTCAGTGTGAGACTTTAATGCACACATTAAAAAACAAACACAATATTTGCTATAATTAAAACAACGAGGCGTCTGGTGGCACCTTAAAGACTAACAGATTTATTTGGGCATAAGCTTTCGTGGGTAAAAAAACACTTCTTCAGATGCATGGTGGTGGTTTTTTATCCATCTTCAGATGCAGGAAGTGGTTATTTTACCCACAAAAGCTTATGCCCAAATAAATCTTGTTAGTCTTTAAGGTGCCACCAGACTCCTCATTGTTTTTGTGGATACAGACTAACATGGCTACTCCTCTGATGCTATAATTAAGTAATTTACGGTTTAATCTCATACATCACACAATACTTAAATAGAAATATCTGACCTGCTTACCAGTGACTCAGTAACATTTTCTGAACCATTAGTAACAATGAGATTAAATCATTAGGGTTTTTAGTATCACAAGTTTAATGATTTCCTCCCCCCCACACACACTATTTTTAAAAAAAAAAAAAACATTTGGCAGTTCCGGTGTTGTAGGAAGAACTCTAAATATATGTTGAAAATTGCAGCACTGTTTACAGTAAAACAGAAACAGGATAAATCTTGAATATTTTTAATCTTTAATAAATTATATTTTTATCTAAAAATATAACCCTTACACTGTTTCTCTTTTCTTCTTTGGTACCCAAAGCAATAGATTGCATTAAAATATAATTCCCAAAGTTTTCATATTTGAAACAGCTTATTATAGCAGACCATTTTTAAGAAAATGGAGGACATTAGAATGTAAGTTTCAGCAGTATCACGGATCAGTATTATTCCTCATAAACATGAACTCATAATAATTGCTATTACCAGAAACAAGAAGTGATAGATTATGAGTGTTGTGGCATTTACATTTTACAGTCATTGTACTGTACTCTTTAATGAAAAATATAAGAAAAGGTTTCTGTGCTAAAGTTATTTTTGATGTTTCAGTGCCATGATTTGTTTCACATTTCTTTGTGATGTGAAAATATACATTTGAATTATTTATCTTTTTACAGAGAGTATTTGATCCTGTTTCTTATCTGTACTGCCAATGATTTGTAAATATTTCTTTGATTGTTACATGCTTACAAATGGCAATGTGAACTATTGCATCCTGCTGCTCTTAACAAAACAAAACAAGCTCTATCTTAACAGTAGTTGCAAAATGTTCTATAAATGCTACCAGTTTAATTCTTTAAATTAGATTTTAAACAGACTTGTAATCCAGATGCCTCCATAGGAGAACACACAAAGTGTATTTAAGACATGTTTATGTACATATTTATATATCTGTGTCAATGTCCTTTTGATGAGTGTACAAGATGGAATTCAATTTGCATCCTTTTCAATGGAAGCTGATATAAGAACATTTGCACTTAAAAACATTATGAACTTACAATATTTTAATGCATGCCATACCTTTCTGTGTAACTGCTGTACTTTCACTTTTCTTACTTTCTAATTTCACTTTGTAGAGATCTTTATGTAGTTTTCACATGTATTTTGTATCTTTGTTCTTTCAGGAGTAATAAATTCTATACCTACTTATACAAGACTGGTTTAAGCTTTGATTTTCTTCATTATTTTAAAAATATTCTGTCTTTGTAGAAACTTACAGGCCTAATTTAACAGATTGAATGCAATTAAAATGTAAATATTACATTAACCTTACTATATTTTAAATGTCCTAATATTGGTTCATCTATTTAACATAGTGGTATCGGTTCGGATCTTGTAACATACATATTAATAGGTATCAACTAACAAAATTACAATGAGACAAACTTGATAGTAGAGAAATTATGAGGAGAAAATTTAATATCCTAAATACAGGCCCTTTAAATAGGGCCAGATGTTGCATTTAGATTCTGGCAGCTCCCATTGAAATCAGTGGCAGCTGCAGGCACACACCTACGGACAGATAAGAAAGCAGATTGGCCTGTAGTACTTATACAGTGTGGGTAGTATGTCTATTACAATTAATGTAAACCTTGTTGTAATTTGAAAAACAAAGTATTTAAATCTTAGAAATCTTTACTTCTCGAATTCCTTGTTACCTCCTGTCACACACAAAGTGTATTTTGATTCTTTGAGTAAGAACGACGACGACTTTGAATAATAGTAACAACATTGAATTCTCTGAAAAGAGATTATTTTCTGTCTTTGGATTCATGGGCTAAATCCTGAACTCAATAATTTCTTTTTCTTACTCTGTAAGAGTCACCAATGTTTCACTGGTCTCTGAAGTGAATTGGTATTCTCAGTTCAGTTGTAAGTGAAGCCACCAACATAATGGCCCCTTCATTTAGCAGTCTCAGCTATTGAGACTGAACTACCCTTGTCACTTCTAGAGATGGGCTCTCCACAGCAGGATTGCAAAGCCTGTTGGAGCACCTTATCTTTTAACCTTTTTTGCTGACTGAGGCCTCCATTTTTCCCAATTTATCAGTATATTAACTTACAGCTGTTGGTCTCTGTGAAAGAAAACAAAGCCCTTTTTAACCCATTGCTGCAATTCCCTGTTTGAAGGCAGAGACAGACTTTTTTAACAACAGATAACTAATAATCTCCCTGTGGAATTACACCAGAATGTAATTATTTTCATTTTTATTCTGAGGACAAGTGATCATGTACTTTACCTTTGTGTCACAGACACCATTGAGGGCTTTTGCCATAATTAAATATGATAGCTTTACACAATTAAATGAAAGCCCTGTAAAAATGTAAAATGTAATTTTCATCTCAAAGGTCCCAAAGCACATAATAAAATAATGTGCACACTATAGACCAGTATGGGGATCATTTCATCCCCACTGAAAGGCAGCCATGTATCGGTGTCTAACAGCTTACAGTCCTACTCCCAACAGCGTAGGACTGTTTCCAGATGAAACTACAGAAGTAATTTGAGGCATACAGAATGCAATTAGCTAGGGCATCAAGGTAAACCCCACTAAGAAAAGGGCCATCGTATATTGAATTATCACAGTGGAAGATCCTCTGTTTTAAGTCACATCTGAAATATGGTCTCTCCAGCAACATATTGGTTCAGTACAGACTCGGAGACTAGAAGACCATCTACAAAATCACCAGTATTAAAGGCCACACCTTGAAGCTACCGTTTTTCTGACGAAAAAGAATTGGATTCTGGTGCCATTCAACACCACTAAGTAATTAGTTATAGGAATTGTGCCACACAATTTATGTGCTCCTTCTGCTCACAAGGTTTGTAGTTAATGTAAAACATTTGGAGTAGATCATTGGCTGGTGTAAATCACCACATCAGATTTAAGTAAATGGAACTACTCCTATTTACTCTAGCTGCATTCCATCTCTGGTCCTCCCTCCCTAACCTCAGAGATGGAATGCACTAGTTCCCAGTCCTGGCTGGTTTTGGAGTCAGCAAGGTAGTTTAAATTTTGCTCTGTTTTACCATATAGCATTGCAGGAGGTCGTGACTATGCCAACAAGCCCTAAAATATTTTATTTACTTCCTCAAAGTATTATACCCTGAGCATTATACCATGTGTTTGGTGGGTAGATCCTTTTCTAAAATGTCCAAAGTATGTTCAGTTACCTTGAGCGTGTCTGCACTTGGTCAAATATTTACTCCTGGGGGAATTCTGTGCCAAAAAATTAAAAACTGTGCACAATATTTTAAAATTCTCAAAAAGTCTGCATATTTTATTTGTTAAAATAACACAATATACAGTAATCACTCCAGTTTAAATTATTGTGATAATTTATTTCAAAATACCTGTCAACACATATGTCAACAATACAGACAACAGGAAAAAAAACCCCACAGTAGAGAGTTAAAGAAACCCCTACAGCAACCCAGTTCCAGCTGGAGGGAGCTGTGTGGGGCCCCCAGAGCCCAGACACATGAACTCCCATCCCTCTAGAGCGCAGCTGCAGGGCACCCCCTGGCCCAGACACCTACACCCCTTTTCCCCCAGAGCCCAGCCATGGGGCACCCCCCCAGCCCAGACACCCACACACCACTCCCACCAGAGCCAAGCCATCGGGCACCCCCAGACACCAGCACCCACCTCTCCACAGAGCCCAGCCATGGGGCAGCCCCCAGCCCAGACACCAGCACCCCCAGAGCCTTTACACCCCTCCTACTTCTTTACTGTCTCACCGGGGGACATGGTGTGTTGCGGCCCTGCCCTTCCTCACCCTTTGCCAGAGCTAGCTGGGTGTCCCAGGCCATCTCCCGTCCCTGGGAGAATGAGGATCAAAGAGCATGCAGCCTCCAGCCTAGCCAGGCTGGGCGCTCAACTCACTGCAAGCTGGCCACTGCAGAGTCCAGTGGCCCTAGTGGTGGCCAGAAATTCTTCAGAGAAAACAGGGAATTTTGCAAAATTCTGCATTCCACAGTGGTGCAGAATTCCCCCAATAAAATATTTCATGAGTCTTAAAGAAACTACCTGAGAAAATCCAAGTACCTTGCTTAGATTTGCTTCTCAGTTCAAGGTATGGTTCATACAAAAGAGCAATAAATCCACTGAAGTACTGTGCACTCTGCATAAATGCATACACCTTTTCATGGTAGGATTTTTTACAATCAGCATGAGTGAATAGTAACAATATATAGACTCTAAACGAAAGGGAGGGAATGATGAAAGAAACCAGAAGATGAGGTTATCTAAGGAATTGCCTGTTCATTAACTCTTTGGAAACTGCAAACATGAGCACATGTCCTCCTAAGCATTCAGACTTCCAAACTTTTGCTTACTTTTGTTTGTTTATAATCCTA